ACAGGTGAGGACAAGAGACAGGTGAGGACAAGAGACAGGTGAGGACATGAGACAGGGGAGGCGTGAGACAGATGAGGCGTGAGATAGATGAGGCATGAGAGGTGAGACGGGAGACGTGAGACAGGTGAGGCATGAGACATGAGGTGTGAGACAGGTGAGGCATGAGACGGGGGAGGCAGATATCTTTTAGAAAGCTTGTTTTCTGTCCGAGTCTGGATCTATGTGAGCGAGGCTACGCTAATGATGTAGCTGCTCCATCAACACTCTAAATCTGGTTCTCCAGGCGCTGAACAACCTGCAGTCCACCAACTCTGGCTTCGGCTACGTCAACAGCGAGAACGTGTTCAAAGTGTGTGACGAGCCCCACCCGCTGCTGGTGAAAGGCATGCTGGGACACTGCGTGGATGGGAACGTGGACCAGGCCTACAAGGTGGTGGAGCAGCTGTGGGCGCTGGGCTACTCTCCGGAGGACATCATCGGGAACATCTTCAGGGTCTGCAAGACCGTCCACATGGCCGAGTACCTCAAACTGGACTTCATCAAGGTGAGCCGGAGCTCCGCCCCCTCAACAGGTCCAGACTGGTTCACCACCAGTTAGAAGTTAAAGACTGAAACCTGAATGTGTCCCAGAGAATCATCTAGAGCAGGGATTCCCAAAGTGAGCTGCCTCTAGGGGGTGCGTGAGAGGAAACATGTAATGGTGGTCTAATGGTGCAGTCCTGTCTCCTAAAAATGACGTTCCCCCAAAACTAAAATGCATTCTCAATTACGTTTGACCACAAACGTATTTTCTCCCTGATGACGTTTGTGTTTGACGTATTACAAATACGTTTCTCATCAACATATCTTTGCCATACTCTAGTCTTTATTATTGTTCTGTGATCTGCCCCGCCTCTACCCCCGCCACCCACAAGTTGTTGCCCCGCGGCCTGTTCCGAGGGCTGACAGACCTGACGATGGGGTGCCTCACGGCGGGGGCGGCTGGAGACCTCGCGTCCGGCGCCAACGGGTAAGCGCCCGCCACTCGGAACCATAAAACCAAGTCCCGGATTTCACCCGGGGGACATTCTGGAGGTATTGTGGCCGGGTGATGTGCCTTGTTGCTGGGGAGGTATGAGCCGAGAGTGGCGGGGTGTTATGGAGGTATATTTTATTTATTTGTATCCATCTAACCCTAACCATAACTTCCACTAGGAAGCCACGTCCTCACCCAAACCTAACCCGTAAGAGATCACGGTTACTCCCGGATTTTACACGCGGGCCTTTGTGGAGGTATTGTAGCCGCGTAATGTTCCTCGTTGCTCGGCCTGGATGAGCGCGTTTCTGCCGGAGACAGGCGGCGTGTTGTGGTAGTATTCTGACCGCGTAATAGGGAGGAGAGGCGGTGGTGGAGAGGGAAAAAAATGTTAAAATGTTGATTAGAAACGTATTTGTAATAAGTCAAACACAAACGTAATCAGGGAGAAAATACGTTTTTGGTCAAACGTAATTGAGAATGCATTTTAGTGTTGGGGGAAGGTAATTTTTAGGAGACAGCTGGGTTGCAGTGCAGTCGGTGCAGTGAGGTTCTGGCTAACAGCTGTCTGAAGCCCTCTTATTTACGTCGCCACCCAAACATGCCAGTGCAAGTCTAAAGCCCCTTACATTTTTATATCGAAATTGGAGGAGTTACAAAACAGCCCAAAACAACTGCAGTCTCATTCATGTTGGGTCTATAAAAAACGCACTGCGGGCTTCATATCTGGTCACAGAATAGCAAGAAAGGGGCTACCGCACACAATCGCCCAAGACGTGTGCTCGCCAGCTGCCAAAGAGATGGTGGAATGTATGATTGGAGAGAGAGAAGCAAACAAGTTGGACATGATCCCGGTGACACAACACGGTGTCGCAGCATCGATGCTTTGTCCGAAGACATCCGGGCTACATTAGTCGGTCGCGTGAAGAAGAGTGAGTTGTACTCTCTGCAAGTAGACGAGTCTACACATGTGGCTAATCTTCTGGTGTCCGTCCGTTACCTTTTCGAAGGCACGGTGCAGGAAGTTTTTTTGTCTTTTTTATCTTGTAAACAAATGCCACGCGTGAGCAAACTGTTCTCTCATTGGTCCGATTTTTATGCGACTATAAATAGGCTCTGTTGCTTTTTTTTTTTTTTTTTTTTTTTTTTAAGGTGTGGGGGGGATTGGGGGTGCGTGAACCCGGTCGGGATGTAGAAGGGGGTGCGTGGCCTAAAAAGTTTGGGAACCGCTGTTCTAGAGCAACGAGTCTCTTTAGTAACAAGTCACCAAAGTTCACCAAGTCTTCTCACCCGAGTATGTGGTACTGTGTATTAACCTGCAGTACTCTGTGTTCTGTAGTACTCTGTATTATCCTACAGTACTCTGTGTTCTGTAGTACTCTTTATGTACTCTGTGTATTAACCTGCAGTACTCTGTGTCCTGTAGGAGATCGGGTACACTCACATGCGTGTGTCTGAAGGCGTGAACTCTCTGCTGCAGATGGCCGGTCTGATTGGTCGACTCTGTAGTAAGACGACGCCCCCTGCTGTCAGCTGATCCGTTAACCCCGACAGGGCTGGACTCTTCTGTGTTTAACGGACCACGATCTGAACATTAAAGTTAGTTTCTGTTCAAAGATAATGTAAAAACTACAATAAATCATCTTTTCATTGATTGTTGTTTTTTAAAGTTTACTAATTAATTAATTGTCCCCATAAGTATAGAGGACTGCTGTTATTGCGTAACAGTGAACTGCTGATTTCACAGTAACCCTATAATACAACACATCATCTTCCTGAGGTAAACACAGTATTAGTACACGGTAGTATCGGTAGTGAATACTGCAGAACATTGGGGGTCAGACGAGTGTTCAGGATCAACGAGCTTTATTTCATTACAAACCTAGTTTACATTCAAAGTCATGAACAACAAACCTCAAACAGCTACTCTCAGTACAAATCTCAAAAAGTAATACTCGTAATAAATATTAAGAACAGTAACAGACAGCAGAGTTACAGTTAGTGTGTATGTGTATATGTGTGTGTATAGAATAAAATAACTACATGTTTGAACCAGAGTTTATAACGTGAACTCGTCTTTTTGTTTTCAGGAAAACTTTTAAAAACTATAAATCCTAATATATGACGGAGCATTAAAGTTATTGTATGAAAGAAAAGGTGATATTCAGAGAAAAGTTTAGATTAAAGTCACATTTACAAGAATCATCATCAGAAGAACTTAAATCTCAGTTCTTTCTCTGAATATTACCAGCTCCATAATTAATGTATAAATATACAACTTCATTCATTGACAAAGCCTCTGATACGCCGTCGATGTGAAGGGCTGCTAAACAAAAAACAGGATTTAGTTCCTCCAGCGGGGGGGCATCAGCTGCTGTGACAGCTCTTAAAAACACACATCGACCCGTCTGTCATCGTCCTCTCACAGCGACGGTTTAAAGTGCAATTCATCAAAAATCGATGTCATATAGGAGCTCATCAGTCCGTCTGATAATCAATAATCAACGAGCCTGCTGAACAAACAACTGACGCTCTAACTGTTGGATTAATGTCACGTGGAGCTGATCAACATCTCAGTTCCTCACTAGACTCAACACCACGTTAGAAACACCGCATGCCACAACGAGCAACGAGCATGCTGCCGACGGACTCGACCGATAATAATAACATGTACGGTAACGGAAGAGGAACACGAGAGGGTGACGGGTCTCTTTTCAGGGTCCCCATCAGAGGAAGACGTTAAAATCTGTAAATGATTTTTAGTTTTATGAATCACCTCTGAAGTCTGGACCACATGACAAAGATCTTCAAGATTTATCTGTTAACTCAGCCAACAGCCAAGTTACAAAGAAAATAACAATCTGCTAATATGTTTGAAAGTCTGATTTTAAATTGTTTTTTTGTCGTTTTTTGAAATATAAAAGGTAAAAGTCTTAGTGTTTGTTGTTGTAATACTCATTTTGGCCACAAGAGGCTGAAGTGAATCACTACTTTATGTTCTAATTAAGACTAAAAGCTGTCATGTTTTCTCCAGATGAGTTTTAATTTCTCCATATAATCTAAACACAAAGTAAATGTATCGTCTGTCAGCAAGTTATGTAACATTAAATCTCTAATTAAAACATGAGGTAATGTGCACTTCAGCCTCTTGTGGCCGTAGTTAGTATTACAACAACAAACAATAACAAAACAACTTTACCTCCCAAACAAGCTAGCTTAAAAAAGTAATGCTAGCTAAACCTTTTTCTCATTCTTAAGTCATTAGAAAATAGTTTTTGTTTTTTCTCACTTGCCTCTCTGGGCTTCCATAAAAGCGACATAATACATTTTAAAAGTTCACCTATATATTGTTGAGGTGAAACATTCCCTTTGTTTCTGTAATTTAATGTGTAGGAAGAAAGAGTTTCAGTAACGAGCTTCACAGCAACGCCAACAACATAACGCCATAACTAAATAATAAAAAGATTATAATAAGAGTAATAATAAAAAAGAAGGAACTGATGATCCGGTCTGAAAACAGTCTACTGAAGAAATACGACACGACTGTATGTAAATAAGAACCAGCTGGTCTCCATGTACGGTTAGAGGGAGAAGAAGAAGAACCAACACCAGCATCCTAAAGAGCACAGGAGCCAAAATGGCCGAAACCGAGCCGCTAACGACAGCGGCCGGATCTACAGAAAAAGTTAAAAGGTGTGTCTCTACTTTTACATGATGCTAGATGTGAGTTAAGAACCGAAGAGTAAAGAGAGAGAAACACAGAGCAGGAAGAAGTCCTACGCGGTCATCTCGATGGCGTGGTCCGCCGTGAGCCCCGGGATGGTGGAGGTAGTAGCGCCCTCTGGCAGTGCGCTGGTGGTACTGCGGCTACGGACGCCGTCCGAGGAGCCGACGCTGGAGGCCGAGTGAGTCCTGGAGCGGACCAGCCGGGTCATACCAGCTGTGGGCACTGAGGGGTTGTGGGGTGCAGAGTTAGTGACAGGAAACATCATGTGTGCGTGCGTGCGTGTGTTGTGTTCACTGTCCAACCAGCACGAGCAGATCTGAATCTGAGATTCAAATCTGATGACGGTGATTGTGAGGCTCTGTTCACACTGAAGCTACAAACGTTTTTAAAGTGACAGCAGAGATGTTTTATGAGGTACTTCTACTTAGTCAGTGTATTATTACTCCAGTAGAAACAGACAGGACACAGTAATGTACTGCTGTGGACGTATTTTAGACACCTAAATACACCAAATACATCTATATCAGTTTAAGTGAACGCTATATTTAATATATTTTTACATCTTTACTTTGCTGTCAGACAGACCTTTCTGAAGAGGAACTGATGTAATTAACCTAAATTAACTCAAATCTAAAACTTCTAAAACTCAAAGACACTTAAAAAAAGGAAAACATTTTTAAACTTAATCAAAATCGTCATATACATACAAGTGCATACATTCAAAGCCACAAAAGTCCTTTAAATAAAACCGTGACTTTACTTTACCTCCGAGCACACAGGAGCTGCTGGTTCGTTGACTCGTTAGTGTTCTATGAGTCTGGTGTCTTACAGAGAACATAGAAGATGTCTGACAGCGAGATAAAGACGTGGAAATATATTGTTTGATATCTTCTGATATTGTTTTCATCTCATGTTATTATGGGACGTGAGTTTGAACCCACAGATAGATGTATGTATGTATGTATGTATGTATGTATGTATGTATGTATATATATATATTTATACACACACATCTACATATATAAATATGAGAAGTTCAGAACTATAAACAGATGTGATTCTGCAGTGTGAACGGAGCCGAGGTGTGTTGGCATGCAGCACAGCCTGCTGGGTACTTTAACTGCAGAGGAAGAAATAAAACAATCTGTTGATCAGCTGATCAACAGCATGCAGACACACACACACACACACGCACACATGCACACACGCACGCACGCAAAGACAGACAGACGAGGCGAAGGAGTAACAAGAGAGCAAAGAAACAAAGATGGAAAATGGAGACAGGCGAGGTGGGTTGTGTGCGTGTGTGTGTGTGTGTGTTTGTGTGTGTGTGTGCATGTAAGGGGGGTTTAAGATTCTGCTTGGAATCCTGATACCTGATTGGCTGCTCAGGCGGTTTAACACAACATGAGGGACTGGAGGAGACGAAGACAAAGAGACGAGAGAACAAGAGCAGAAAGGAAGGAGGACAGGTTGAGAGACAATAGTAGTTCTAATACTACACACACAAACCACACACACACACACAAACACAAACCATACACTAAACATGAATTTATTGTTTTGAGGAAATCCAACCGTTTCATATACTTCTGTGAACAATACTGCAAACAGCTACTTACAGTTAGTGACGCAGGGCTGGAGACACACACACACACACACACACACACCTTTTGATTGAGCAGCTTAGTGTATAAATATCTGTTACTTTTCATTAACGGTGCTTTAATTAACACTGAACCCTTTTGGTCCGTTTTCCGTCCTTTTGACTCGTCAGAGTCAACAGGAACCCGGCCAGAACTAAATTTAAACAATGTCTCATGTTGTTCTCTTGATCCGGACCAAATGAAGCCAACTACAGGTGTGAAAGCACCATGAAACCTTTTAGTTTAGTAGGACATACAACAGGAACACGTCAACAGAGAGACAAAGACCAACAGGAAACACATGTCGGATCAAACTCGGTCCGAACCAGTCGGTAGTTTTCTTGCAAATACAAAGAATTTTAAGAAACTCTTCTATCTCTTCTCCTACATTTACTTATACTCACTGTAGCCCATCCCCTGGACAAAATACTTGAAGGCCTCTGCTAGTTTTCCAGGCTGAGGAAGGAAAGCACACACACACACACACACACACACACACACACACACACACACACACACGCACACACACACACACGCTGCAGTCAGATGTAGAAAACAGATCATCCTTTACTAATAAAAAACTACGACTGAGTGATGGATTGAGATTTGAGAACTACTTAAGAACACATCAAACTACTGAAACTCAGAGCCAGTCAAAGTAACGGCTAGCTGGTTAGCATGCTAATTTAAACATATGTCTGTAACCCTCGACACTGTAACCTCTTCACCTTCTGTTGATCATGACAGCTCTGTTTTTAACATTGCACCTTTAAAGGATTCACATTTTTGTTCAAGTCGGTCTTAAAACAAGTCTCACGTGGCCGTACGCATATTAAAGAGCTATTGATCCCCTCCTAAAGGGGTTCTAATGTTAGTGCCAACTGGTGGAAGACACCCACTTGATTTGTAACTCTCACTTCTTTTAAATTCAGACTTTTCTGTTTGACGCTGCCTTTTCTTAAATCATATCTTACACTGCACCATCTTACTCTATTTGAGCTTGTTTTTATTTTGAATCATGCTCTAAGATGTTTTATTTAAAGCCCTCTCAAATTGCCTTTTTGCTGAAATGTGCTGTATAAAATAAACTTGCTGAAGCCTCATATCATCAATCAGCTGAATACAATTCTACACAGTGAGGACTTTGGATTGTGTCCAACAGGTAAGTGTCTCAGACTCACCTGCACCACCTGAGGAAGTCCTCCACAGTCTGCCATCTGGTGGAGACACAAAGAAGGACATCTGGTGAGAACACGAGTCCGTGTACAAGCTACAATGTTGAAGATGGTGTTTGCCGCTTCTCGTAGGTTTGTCGTAGCATCATTTAGTTTAGTGTGAACTACGTCTCTCGTCTCAATACACGTCACCAACACGGCCGGTAGCTTAGCTTAGCTTAGCTAGCAAGCTAGTAATCGTACCCGATGTGTTTTTATCAGACGAGAAATAAATATCAGAAGCAAAGACAGAGGAATGTTTTAGGTGTGTCGTCTGTCTAATCATGTATTCTCACAGTCTTATACTTCTTAAAAAGTTTTATGACAAAATGCGACTTTCTTGACAAAGCCTGAGAATATGATATTTGTCTCAGGCTTTTATTGTGAAAGGTAAGAATGAAAGGAGTGGATGTGGTCTGTGTTTCCTTTGTTTCAGGTTGAAAGGAGAAATAAGTACTTAAGTTTGTCAGTTAAATAAGTGAATGTGTCAGTGAGGAGGACAGACAGACATGCAGACAGAGAGACAGACAAGACAGACAGACAGACAGACAGACAGACAGACAGACAGAAAGACTAGTGAGGAGGACCGACAGACAGATTGACAGACAGAGAGACATGTAGGCAGACTGATATGCAGACTAGTGAAGAGGACAGACAGGCATACCTGGAGACAGAGAGACAGGCAGACAGACAAGTACCTTGAGCAGGGTGGTCTTGGTGGGGTTCAGTCTGGAGTTACACTCCACCTGCAGGACAGAGAAGCACACACACACACACACACACACACTGTATTTACAACAATGTGGTGT